CAACCAGTACTAACTACAGGATATCCTAACGGAATAAGTGGAAATAAAAAAAGGCTCTCTCCCACATATTGCAATCCCAGCAGAATATGAGGCAGCAAAAGCAAGCCCCAAGCTTTTATTGCTTGCCACCCGAATTCTTGTGCCAAGGTAAGTGTTTCATCAGTTCTAGGATGCTGCCATATTTTCATATGTCTAACGCTAGGTTTTCTTCCATCATCAACACCCAGAATGTGTTATTTGGCTCTCAGAAACGTAAGAGGAAGTGCCCTTCCCTGAACAGAAATCCAAACACAGAGTGAAACCACAATTTATTTTCAACAGATCTCTTGTGAGGCCTCTCTGCTGTGCTGTGTTTCAGCAAATGAGCAGGAACTGGTGGCTGCAAGCAGCATAAATGGCCTATGCCTCTTCCTGAGGATGCCTTTAGCAAGGGTCTCAAGAGCAATTAGTCATCAGCTGGAAAACTGCCAACTTGGCTCCCTAAGTCAAATCATGCTTCGTCTAATATAAAATTCTGATGTTCCAGCACATGGCTTGTTTACAAACTGTGCCTTAAATAAACACATGCATAATATTTAACAATACAATGAACTATATGCCTTTGTTTATGCAATAATCTTATATCATATGCCCAATATGTGCCAGGTACTATGCTAAGAGCAATGGTTTCAAGGCAGAAATGAGGCAGTGTCACCCTTAATGGTCAGTGAATTCAAATCTCCATTGACTCTTTCTCCACTAAACTATAAATTCAATCAGTGGCTCCAATGGATGTGAGATAGAGCTGTGATATAAAGCGGGTGGCAATAGATCACACTTGGGGAGGTGTGTCACAGGAAGCACTTACACTGCCGTTTTGAATATTAGAGAACCTTCATCCACTGGGCCACACAATCTTTCCATTACAGCACCTAGTTCCATGCGTGGAATAAAATGGAGAACCCCCAGTAGCCTGCTAATCACAGTAGGTTTCTTTAAGGGGCGATGCTCAGACTCACCTTGGAAGGAGAGGGATGTGTTCAGTTAGAGGACAGAGAAGGATGAAATATTCTAAGATGAGGGAATGCAGAACTAAGGCAAAGAAAAACCACACAGCCTAGCACATTCCAGACAATGCAAGCAGTTGAACTTGCAGGAATAGAGCCTGAAATGAAGGGAAGGTAGGCAGAGGCCTGAGTATTAATGATCTTGTGTTGGGAGCCGCGGCCGACACCGGTCGCCTTACTTGACGTAGGGCCTGTGGGTGGGAGCGGAGCCTGAGCTAGATTGCCCCTCCCATCGAGTGAGCCAAGTTGGCGCCTGCTTCCTGCCCCCTGATTGCCCTGGCGACTTAAACAACCCGCTCTGTAAGATAGTCTGCCTAGCAACAGCTGATGTTAGCCAGTCAGCCCGCATCGCGCGCTTTGAACTGATTGGCTACTGTTGCCCTATAAAAGTGAATGCCTCTCCCGCCACGAGGAGGAAGCACAGAGAGAGATAGAGAAAGTCCACCGGCGAGAAAGGGCTGGTGACAGAGCGGAGGCCTCGCGGGGCCCACGCAGAGACAAATAAAGACAAGATTGCACACCGTCAGAATCTGTCGCGTGTTCTTCCTACAGGCCGGGAGCGACACCGACAATCTTGTATTTCGAACTAAGAAGAAAAGTCTTCATTCTGAAAGATGTAGGACAATATTGAAGGAGGTTCCAGAAATTGAGTGAGATGCTCATATAATGGGAGATGGTCAGATTAGGCATTTCTGTGATTTGAATGTGTGTGTTCCTTCAAAATTCATACATCAAAACTTAACTCCTAAAATGATGGTATTAAAAAGTGGAGTTTTTAGTAGGTGATTGGGCCATAATGCCTTTACCATCATGAATTTTCATTAATTAATCTCCAAATAAAAGAGCCTTTAGATACTTGCCTCTTGCTTCCACTCTTTCATCATGTGAAGACACAATATTCAAACCCTCCAGAGGACAGAGTAACATCCTAGAAGCCGAGAGCATCCCCTACCAGCCACCAAATCTCCTGGTCTTCCCAACTTCCTGAACTATGAGATTATATTTCTGTTGTTTATAAATTACTCCTATTTTGCATTTTGTCACAACAGTGTAAACAGATGAAGAGACTCATTTTCACAGCAGCAAAGTAACCTGCAAGGATTAAAAGCAGGAGTAGGGGAAATAGGAGACCACTGAAATACTGTAATCCAGGTGCTCAAGGTATAGAGGCAAGAATGGATTTGAAAGAAGATAAGGGAGTAGAATCAGCTGAACTGGAAGAGTTACTGGATTCTAGGAGATTAAGAAGACGGAGGTGCCAAGGATGAATGATCTCCAGGTTTCTTGGGAGCCTAAATAGATGCGGGTGCCTCTGAGAATGAGGGAATGCAGGAGAAGAAAGAACCTAATGAGGTACTCTCAGGGAAAGGGTGCTAAGTGCTCTTTGACTGAAGGTTAGCATCTATTTTTGACTCTGTTCTAGCAAAGAAATGGTGTGGCAGGCAAGGTTCAGTGGAGCTTATCAGTCATAGTTCTATGTCATAGTTGACTAAAGAACTTTTACCCAGATCAAGCCCAGAACTCAGACCACCTGGTTTAATATCACACAGAGGAAAATGCTTCCAAAGCTGTAGCTCCAATGGGTCTGACCCCATCTGGAGAAGTTAGCATTTGCCATTGATCACAGAGGGAGGTGGAACAAAGGGGTTTGGTTCAGTACTATCCATTCCACTGGAAGAAAAGGGTGGAAGCACATGCTTTGACACGTCAGTACCATCAGTTTGCCCTATACAACAGAAATCTATACTTTTCCACACCAATAAAATATGCAGCTCTTCAGTTGCAATAAAATATGTTCATACTCATATAGTAAAAAAATGGATTGAACTAGAATATAATTCTCTCTCTCTTTTTTTTTAATTGGTACCGGGGATCGAACTCATGACCACCTGCTTGCAAGGGTGCTTATGCCACTGAGCTAAATCCCCAGCCCCTAGAATATAATTCTAGTTTTGTTTCTGATTGCTAATGAAGATATCTCTTGTAAAAATTACTTTATATACAGGCCGCCAAAAATATATATACTCACCAGCAGTTTGCTGTACTAATACATGTCTGAAAGCCAGTGGGTACCACTTTGAGCACCTCTTGTAATTGTAGAGGCCAAAGGTAACTTGACATGATGTCTCAATAAATTTAGTATTAAAATATTTTTAGAAGTGTTTATTTTCCTGATGTATACATTTTTGGAGGACTTTGTATATATATTATATATACATATATACCTTATATATGTATTTATATGAATATCTAAAATTGTATATATGTAAAATGGTTTTAGTGAAATATTTATAAGCATATATAAATATCTTCATAGTGCTCAGTTTAATGAAGGTATAGTTTTGAACTTTTTATTACAGAGAATTTAAAAAAATTAGAAAAGACAGTCCAATATATCTATCTATGTATCCATCAGCCAGTTCCAACAATTATTAGTAATGGAAAAATCTTATTTTCTTTATCAATAGGCCCACAAATATCCCCCTTTGCCCCCTCGATTATTTTAATATTGGAAATGTCTGTATGCGTATCATGTATGTATATCAGGTAAATTTTATTTTGGAAGAGTTGTAAATTTAAAGATTATTGAGAAGATAATACAGAGATTTTTCTCTTTATACCATACCCAAGTTCCATATTGTTAATGTTTTGCCTTAACATAGTATATCTGTGAGAGTTAATGAACCAGTATGGATATATTATTAACTAAAGTTCAACTTTCCTCATATGTTCTCTAATGTGGTTTTTTTTTTCCTGTCTCATAAGCACATTGGAGGTATATTTCATTATTTATTTTCAAGTCCTGGACTTAGAAATACAATATTCCATTTTGTTAGCTCAAGAAGAGTTCCTGTACCCTTTCTCCTTTCTTTCCTTCTCCTCCTTCCTCTCTTCCTCCTTTTCCTCCTCCTTCTCTGTCTCGGTCTGTCTCTGTCTCTGTCTGTCTGTCTGTCTCTCTCTCACTCTCTCTGTCTCTCTCTCCTTTTAATCTCTCAAACTTGAGGAAAAATGTCAGGACATGCCTCCAGTGGTTTGGGACCATGATAGATTTGTTACAATAGGACCTCTTTGGGCACCTGCTGAATTCCCTTTAAAGTATGTTTTTGGGGAATCAATGCCCAAACAACCTACCTAATATATTTTGGGATGCCCTGTGAAGTAAAGAATTCATAAACAGTGAGTATATCTTCATAAACAGTGAGTATATCTTTAAAGATTCATTCGCGAGTCTACCACATTAACTAAATGAGATAGAACTAATGGCTCCCAGGCTTTGGGGACTTATTTCTACTTGGGGTCTTTGCAATTTGGGGCTCTTGGTGATCTGGAGGCTCAGTTAAGACCCATGAGTACCTCTCTTTAGTGTTGGTGGGTCTGCCCTTCCATACCAAGGGGCCTTCTAGGCAGAAACCAGGTGCTGTCTGCTGGCATCATAGGAAGCCAGTTATCTCTGGAGATGTGTTGCTCAAATCAGCACTCTCTGTGATGCCGTGTTTCTGATGTGATGCCTGCCTCCAGTCAGCTTTAGAAACAAATCGAAATGCACTGGGTGGCTGGCTCAGGGCCAGCATGACGTCATTGTCCATTAGTAGAAATTGATGGAGCTCAGAAAAATGCTTTGAGTCTGGCAACAATCCAACTCCTTCTACACTCTGTCAGCCTCCAGGCAAATATATGGAAAAATCAATTTAGGGAGGCTTATTTTTACCAGTTTGTGCTAATTTAAGCAATGGTTTACCTAACTACTGCTGGATATTTTTAAAATGTTTTGTGAGACATCTTACTTTTTCTGAATTTATATAGCCTTTTGTAGACTTCTTTTCTCCACTAAGGATTTGCGGTAATTTATTGCAAAGGACATTTATTATTAGCATTTAACCTTCTGCTGCTTTTCCTCAGCAATGTTCTGCTTACACAAATATGGTGGATAAAGTAAGTTGATTTATCAATCAAACATCAATACTCCCCTTTATTGTATAAAGGATGTGTACAAAGTACAGAGAAACCTACAGCATACATTAAGATGACACAAATTACAGAAAGAAAAATAGAAACACAAGTTACTAACATAAAATACAGCTATAAAACAGGACCTCACAGAATTTCACAGCATGAAGTCCTATACACTTCTTCCGAATGGTTTCACTTTTGCAAATAAACCTTATAAGAGCCAGAAAGAAGGGGAAACATGATATTTGGGCAAACCACAATGACCATAATCTAAAAAGAAACCACCTAAATTTTTCTGGTACCTAGTAAAAAATATCAGCTTATAAAGCTTTTATACAATGAAAATCCTTGGTGATATTCTAGGAGATTGTTATTGACTGAACTGTGCTCCTTTAACCTGCCCTAAACTCAGAGGATGAAGCCCCAACCTCCAGTGCCTCAAAATGTGATTATTATGCTTAGGGTCCTGAAAGTGGTTATTGAGTTAAAATGAGATCACTCTAATCCAATATGACTTGTGTCCTTACAAGACGCAATTAGGACACAGGCACAGAGGCAAAACTATGTTGAAGACAAGAAGAAACCAGTAAGAGACCTCAGAAGCCAACTTTGTTGATACCCTAACCTTGGACTTCAAGTTTCTATATTCTGTGGTTTAAACTGAGTCTGTGGATAACTTGATAAGGCAGTTGTAGTGAACTAATAAAAACACAGAAAAATGTTTCCGAGGACCACCTATAATGATATCCCTCTTTGCAGACTGATGACATCACTCTCAGGTAATGGATTCTTCCTTCCCTCACATGCTTCCACATTTCTCCCAAGTTCATGTGGCTAATTGGGTGTTTTGATATTTTTCTATGACTTCGCCATGCTGGCCACAGTAAATCAGACTACCTGACCCCACGTGGTTCAGTCTTTCCTTGGGATTTTTCCACCTGTGACTGAGGAGTTAACATTAGTCCTTTTTGGCAGCAGAAGCTATTTATACAGGTAAACCTTGTTAATAGTCATAGCTGTGTTTTTTTCCCAGACAGACAGCATGAATCTCTAAGAAGACTGAAGCTGAAAGAAAAAGTCTTAGTAAAATTATGGTTTCTAGTTCACTCTTTCTTTTATTCAGCCAGTGTTTAATCAATGGTCCTGTGTTTTAGGTACTGATTTAGTTACTCAACTCCATGTATAACCATGTTTTCCTAATAACTGAATTGCTCCTACCCTTTTCATGATTCCATCTCAATGAAACTTGGTTTTTGCCTAATCCAGCAAGTTAGACTTCTGTCACTGACAGCCAACGTGGTGCACTGTGAATTCCCATTTTCTTCTTTCTACCCTGATCACTCAGAGCCACTGGCAGTTCCTTAAACTACTAAAAATTCTATTGTCTCAGGTGGAGTAATTATGCTTCTTTCTTAGTCTTCTCCACACAAAGCTAAGCAGTGTTCGAATATTAGCCATGCTACTTTCCTTGCTCTGTTTGCAAAAGTCAATCTTCTCCATGTCAGAGCTGATCCAGACACTTGCTTTGTTCTCCAGTTTTGATGAGAGGGTGGTTCCAGTCTTTTACATAACAAGCAGGTGGCTGTTTGAAAGAGTAGAAAGTACCTGAGCTTTTAAAAACTTATTCTAATGCAAAATGATTAGTGCTAATAACATTTAATTATATACTTACATTGCACATATTAAAAGGAATTTCTTCCATCTAAGAAACTCCTCTCATTTCTTTAATTTTATCAATCAAAAGTAAATGAGGCATTTATTTCATGTGGAATTTACTGTTTAGGAAATTTATTTTTTGTGTAATTGCTTGTATTCTCATTTTACTGATTCCTAGATTTTCTAGTAGAAAGGAAAGAAATCATTAACCATATGAGGAGGCCGTTAGCCTTAAGTAGAAAGAGAGAATTTCTTGAAACATCCTTTATGGTAGTTCTCCCTTCTTTCAGTACTGCCGAATAGATGCCACTCTATTCTTATGAATAACCCCAATGTTAAAGACCTCATACTTAGAAAAAAAGGGCATTTGGTTTTATTCAGAAATATCCATATGATTTCTGTTTCTGCTGTAGAAACACATGAACCTTACTTAACAGCTCGAGTTTGAGTGCTAGCAGTACTATTCTTAGATGGGACACTTCTGCCAAATAGGTAAGTAAACTTTAGAAACCTCAGATTTTCTCATTTATTGAATGGAAATTAAAACACTTTGCAATATAGTTAGATAGATGTCCATATTTTATATAATTGGCTATCAGAAGTGCCTGGCATATTGTGAACACTTGAGAAATTACACTGTTATCCAATTCAATGGGCAATTGGTTATCTGCAAGTCTTGTCTGCCTTATATGCTTACTATCACTCCTTTATTTTATAGTTTTCTTATCATTTGATGCTTCTGACTACTGTGGTTTTGGTGACACAAAACACCTCTGGTGGCGTTTTTGTTGTGATGGTGATCTTTTATAAAAATGTACAAGTAAGGAAAAGGATAAATTCTACACTAAAATTTTCATCTATTTATATAAAGAAACCAGTATAAATAGTATGTAACACTAGAAAATCATGATATTTTCAAATCAAATTATGCATATCAGTGCCTCTCCGCCAAAGATCACTAGGAGCATGTCTGTCAGGTTATTACTTGTCTCAGAGGACGGCAGTGCACACTATTGGAAGCCTTAGGGAATTCTCTTAAGAGGAATTAGAAAAGGCTTAACAGGATTTGGGTTTGTGGTAGGTGATTTGGGGAAGTGCAGAAAAACAGGACTTTTGTCTATAATAGATGCTGTCAGGAAAAGGAAATGAAATTCTAAGATTGGGTATATAAATAAGTCTAACCTAGAAAGAAGGCTATAGCTATACTTAGTAAATAAGTAACAGTCTTTCAGATTAGCACTTAAGTGGGGAGATGCTTAGTCATTTTTGTGATTTGGACAATGTTCATATTTTGTCTGTGTTTGGAATGATACACAGAGTGGTCTTATTGATATCTTGATTCATCATGATCAACACAGTGACCTTGGATAATGCTGACATTTTGCAGAATTGTTTACAGCAAACAGGAGAAGATTGCGGCCCATCTCTAAGTGCCAGGTTGGTTTCCGGTGACAGCGAAATCAAGTTGGAAGTGTCAGGCCAGTTTCCAGATGTCAGGTTGTTTTTCTCATTCTTGTGTATTAAATGACAGTGCTCTGCAATAGAATTGAAGTGTGACTGATAAGCACTCACTCACTTATGAGAACGGACTTAATACAAAGAATCAAGTGCTAACACAGTTCTTAGAAGGACTGAAATACTGGCTCTGGGCTTGGAATTTAAGATGAACTGCAAGGAGGGACGTTAATTCCTTCATTGCCCCCTTTCTGACTGTGATGATCATCACTGAAAGTTTTGACTGCAGGAACATGTCAGCTAAGTTGCTCTTCAGAGACTAGGGAACCAGTTCTCAGCATGTCCTCACATCTAAGCCTTGTGTCTTGACTTTCACTACATTAGTGACGAAGAGTATCAGAACCTCAGCTACCTCTGCCACAAAATAATCTCGCTCCACTCTGGCCACTTAGTCCATCTACTGTAGCTTAAAGAGAATACCTAAGATAGATAATTTATAGAGAAAAAATTCCTTCTCACAGTTCTAGAAGCTAGGATGTTCAAGATCAAGTTGCTAACAGCTAGCAAGGGCCTTCTTGCTGTGTCATCTCATGACTAATGACAGAAAGGCAAGATCTCGTAAAGGAGAGGAGAGAAGAGGAAAAGAGGTAACATGGAGAGGAGAAGAGAAAATTCCTGCTTTTATCAGGAACCCTCATCTGGCAACATCAGTTTTCTGGCCATGTGAATAAGCCTCCTCAGTAGTGAATGTTTGAGCCGTTGGCAAGCCTGTGTTAATCAGAGGCTTACTGTAACAAAATATCTGACAGTTGACTTGGATGAAGGAAAGATTTATTTTGGCTCACACTTTTGGAATTTGCAGCCCATGGTCAGTTGGCCCACAATTTGGGGGGCTGTGGTAGGGCTGCATGTTGTGTGAGAATATGTAACAGCCAGGCAATGAAAGAGAGGAAGAAGAGGGGCTGGGTCCCAATGTCCCCTTCAAGGACACACACTGATTGACCTAAATTTCTTCCACCAGGCTCCATCTCCTGAAGGGACCATTAGCTGGCAGTACTGCCACAGAGTCTTTGTGGGGGTTGGAGGCATGTTGCATCCAAACTGTAGCAAGCTTTCCTGCATGCCTAGATGGCATCTGTACTCAACGGTAGTGAAATTTGGAGCCAGAGTTACTCACCTAAGCCACTCTTAAATTCCTGATGGAAATTCTGTGAGGTTATAAATACCTAATGTAATCTTAAACATTTAACATAAATTGTTTGGGAACAGAAAAGTAAATACATTTCCTTATTAATGTGCAGAAATAGTTTAAGAATCATTGATGTCAGATTTGATTTGCTTTTTCTCCTCTAATGTAAGGCAACAGTCTTTGAGATTGTATCACGAAACATATCAAAAGCCATTAAGAAATACATAAATGAGAATTAAATCTAAATATTTTCTGAGATTAAAAAAATATGTGCTAATGGGTAGACAGGAAAAGTCTTATTGTTCATACACTACACTGCAAACATTTTCTCAGGCAAAATGCCAGGCTTTTGAAATTTATCACAAGGCTAATATGCCTTTTGAAAATAAACCCAATAAAAACATAATAAAATGACTCTTTCACAGACGTGCCAGTCAACTCTACAAGATTACTTATTTTAATAAAGGGACTAGGCTGCAGTCATAGTATAATGAACATTCCCATGTATTAGTTAAAAATGAAATTCTCATGCTAATGATTTCCTTGTAGTTTTAATTGAAAAAGGAAATAAGTTAATCTAATTTCTTGAATTTTATGGTGGTTTAAGTTTCACTTATGAAAGAATGTTCCAGCAAAATTTAAATTTTTTATGAAGATTAATTTTTATTAACGCTCTTTTCTGGATCCTGCATCCATGCCTCTGTTAAGAACACAGAGCAACAACCTTCCACTGATTGTGAAAAATAAGGGTGTATGAATTTGGAGAATATGGTGGGTAGATGCTTGAGTTTTAAATACTATAAACCTTATAAGAATCAGCTTAAGCTAAACAGAAGGATTTACTGGACAGTCACTGCAGCCTCCTGGAATTCAAGTCAGAGCCAAGTTCAGATAGAGGAGAGCCTTTGGCTCTGATGGAGCCAGGGCTGGAAAGTTTCCAGCTCTCAGTCTCCTGCCCTCGCCTCTGCGTCTCTGGGTGCCAGCTTTGTCTTGTGGCAGACTGACTTCCTTTTTGCTGGGGGAAAACATGTTTGTTGGCAATTCCTGATTTTTTTTTTTTTTTTCTTTTTCAGCTTTAGTCACTGAAGACTCACTTTGGATGCAAATACTAATTTCCAATGAACTCTACCAAGACCAGGGGCTTGGCTTGTTATTCAGTATGCTTGCTCCCTCAGTATTTGGGAAAAGAAGATTTCTCAAAAAAGTTGAGCTGGGGAGACAAAACAATGCATGTGATGCTTTAAGTTTGCAGGGCTGCCTTAAAATTTCACAAAGAAGGTGGGTTAAGCACTAGAAATGTATTGTTGCCAATTCTCAAGGCTGAAAGTCTAAGATCACGATATTGGCAGAGCTGGGACTGAGGGGGCTGGACAGACAATCTATTCCAGGCTTCTCTCCTTGCTTCTGGTGCTTGCTGGCAATTTCTAGACCTCCTTGGCTTGTTGCAGCATCCTCCCAATTTCTGCCTCCTTCTCACATAGCCTGTCCCGCTCTCTCTGTCCTAATTTCCCTTTTCTAAGAGAATCAATCATTTTAACAGCCCTACCATTACGATCTCATCTTAATAGAATTAATTATTTTTATTTTTGGCAGAACTGGAAATTGAACCTATGCTAGTCACATGTTCTACCACAGAGCTACATGCCCAGCATTTTATTAAATTTTATTTTCAAAGAGGTTCTTGCTAAGTTGCTCAGGCTGGCCTCTGACTTTGAAATCTCCTATTTTAGCTTTCTGGGTTGGAATAGCTGGGATTACAGATGTGTACTACTGTGCCCATTTTATGTAACTAATTGTATCTCCTGCTACTCTATTACCAAATAAGGTCACATTCTGGAGTCCTGAGGTAAGTGTGGGTGGGCTGACTCTATTCCCATGTCAAAGACCAAAGAATGGAAGCAAGGGAAAGAGTTGCAAACCTGGAATTATCAATCACTTCTGATTTTATCCTTCGAGAACGAAAAAACTAATGAACTAATGAAACTGCATTTACACAAAGAAATGGAGAATGTTTTTGCACTCATAGAAGTAAGATAGCCATCAGATATAGGGAGATAAAGACTCATATGGAATAACACAGCATCTAATGGCTACTTAGACACAATCATCTGTGTATCTTGTTCCACTGAGCACCAGCTGGGCAAACAGCCCAGGGTCTTGTGTCATCCAGGGAACGTGAATGAGAGAGGAAAGAGAGTTCAGGGAGGGGAGGAAAGATGGAGTCACATTCAGCTTCCTGCCTACCTCCATGAAGTGCAAAGGGGCCTTGCGATTGTCGTTTGACTGTGACAGTGAACCTCTGCCCCTTGTCCCATGAGGGCCCCTGAAAGCTCAAGCCCTACAGATGCACCCTCACCCCCGTTACCTTGAACATTTAGGAGGGCATCAGAAGTGCAGCAAGCGCGTGCCCTGGAGTCCCCAGCCCCTCGCACTGCTCATTTCGGGAGACCAGAGAGGAGGCTGTGCTCTGGCAGTGTTCATCTCCATATTACAGGCTCTCCTGTGAACACGAGTCCATTGCAAGACAGGGGAAAGAAGAAAGTCTTTCACTGACAGATTTTAATCAGAAGAGATTAATGAGGTCCTCAACTGAGCTAAATTTGTATCTGAAAATACCATAAATTGGCAGGATTAAGATTTCTAGTCTGTTAAAATGGGAAATCAGAAGCAGAGCTCTGATTATTATAAAACTCAGTGACAAAGGTGAGTGTGTAAAAATAGAAAACTTACTGTTTTGATATATACTGCTTTTATTTATTTGTCTTTTGAATAGATTGAGCATAACTATTTAATTTACACAGTAAAACAAAAGATTGTACTTGTTATTATACCCATTCTATTGACAAGAAGACTGAGCCCTATAGAAATTGAGAAACTTGTATATGAAACCAAGTCTGAGTGAACTGTGTGGTTTTTAGATTTACATCTCACTATACTTGTTACCAAACAAAACAAAATGAGCTGAAATAATCCATTTCTTCTCCATAATAAAGCCCACATGTCATCTAGCATAGAAAGCATCACGCTTACATCAGGCTACTGCTGTAGAGAAAAATGCATTATTTTAGGTTGCATTTTTCTTTTTAAAAAGAATGTGATTTATTAATTTTGTTTTGGAAAAGTTCTGAGGCCAGGCCTGCCAAAACAAACTGACGAAGTTTTTGCCTTCATATGTCGTGGGGATGAGTCTTCCATGGAGTTACATTGTCTGCTCAGAGAACAAGGGTCAGACTGAAGTCTTCTTTGCTGAGGAGCAAAAGGGGAAAAATTCAGTCACCATGAGCAGTAACTTAGGTCAGTGATGGTGAGCCTCGTAGAGCTCTCAGGGATAACCAAGAGCCTGCTGCAGCCTATGTGTCATAGGTTCGCCATCACTGATCTATCACTTTTTCTTTTTAAAGAGAAAAACAATAATGATACAACAGAGTTTCCAAACAGGCATTAGTGAGAGACTTACAATAATTAATTCATTGCATATGCTGTCTTTGTAGTAGTTATTCAGAGTACCAGGTATAGAAATATTATCTTGTCCAAACAGTACTAGCACAAGCCTTTCTTTTCAATGAACTAAGAGAAACTAGATGTATAACTATCTTAACTATCTTGAGTACATGTTTTTTTCTTTTTCCTGTCTTCCTTTCCCTTTCCCCTGTTTGTTTTTTTCTTTTGAACAGTTTCTTCCCAAATCACAGCATCTATTGTACAAGTCATATATATTATTTATATCTTCATTCAGTTTCTCACACTAGTAAGACAATATAGTGTTTATACATGTAGGTCTGATTTATTTCACTTATCAGTATGGTCCCAAATTGCATCCATTTACCTATAAAACTCTCCAGTCTATCCTTATCTATGGCTGAGTAGTACTCCATTATTTTAAAAAACACATCTTTAAAAAAAAAAAAAACTCCACTCTTTGGTTGATGGGCATTTGAGTTGTTTCCAAGATTTAGTTATTACAAATTGTGCTACTATAAATGTAGGTACACATATATTACTTTGGTATAATGTTTTTAATTTTTCTGGGCTGATTCCCAGAAAGAGAATAGCTGTATCAAATGAGACTTCTAATCTTAGTTTTTTAAGGAATCACTTCACTGATTTCCACAGTGATTGTACCAGTCTGCACTCCCACCAACAGTGGAGAAGGGTTTCTTTTTCCCCACAGCACCGTCAGCATTTGTTATTGGTTGATTTCTTAATCTTGGCCATTCTTTCTGGAGTGAGATGATATCTCAGTGAACATTTTTTCATGTATTTATTTGCCATTTTTATTTTTTTCATCTGAGAAGTGTGAGTTCAACTCAGATGCACATTTTTGGACTGGGTTTTTGAATTTGGAGAATCTGAATTTTTTCAACTCTTTATATATTCCAGATGTAAGTCTTTGTCTGAGGGACAACTTGCTATAATTTTTTTCCTACTCTATGGGTGGTCTTTTCAATCTGTTGATTTCCTTTGAGGTGCAAAAGCTTTTTAATAAGGCAAGATCCCATTTGTTGATTCTTTATATTGTTTTCCTTGCAATTTGAGTTTTGTTCACAAAGGTAGCCTAGACCTGCCTCGAGATTTTTCCCTATTTTCTCTTCCAGTAAATTTAGTGTTTCTGTTTAAATATTTAGATATCTAAGCCATTTTGACTTTAGTTTAGTGCATGGTGATAGGCTTGGGTCTAGTTTCATTCTTTGGCATGTGGAAAGCCAGTTTTTCCAGCACCATTTATTAAAGAGATTATCTTTCTTCCAGTGTCCATCACTTTTCAAAATCATGTTGTGAACAATTACGATAAAATCTTCATTTAATCTCTTGTTTTAAGGCATGGATACCTCTTTGAAAAAGAATCCATACTGTTTTCATGTGCCTCTAAAATAAATTGTCACATTGTAAGATTTATAAAATATTCATATTGTTTTATAAAAGTCTCTTCTAAATTCACAGGCATGATTGGCTCCTTTGTTCCATAACTTATGATAATATATTCAAATCCTATCTCATTTTGTAACATATTCTCTTAGAAAAATTACTTGACCTGGGGTGCCCAAATGGAGATTTGCTGAGATAACCAGTTTGAAAGTCTTTTAAGAGTTCAATTCACAAGCCACAGAGGAATGAAGGCAATGTTTTAAAGTCTTTTAATGATCTAAGATGATTTGATAAGGAAAATTATACGCTAACTGCCAAAACCAAATCATACATTGGGATGAAACCAGTTACATACACAATAGATTCCTTTCTCTTGAAAGCCGCAATCTGGACACATTTCAGTAACTTTCTTCTTTCAGCACAAGCAGTGAACCACAGAGAAACCATGAGCTCTGCAGTTCTGCACCGGGACACTCTAAAAATGCTGACTCGCTGCCATAGAAGGTGCAGAGTGAAAAATGCAAGTTGCACAATAGTGTGTACAGAGTAAAACCATTCCGGAGGGGGAAATGGATTCGATATGATGCGTATTAAGACTTGATACAATGCAGTATTGTTTTACAGAGAAAGGCAATTCTAAAAAGAGACGAAAGATTATTTGAACATTAGGAAGTGTGAACATTACAATTTATTTGGTTTACTATTTAAACACTTTAAAACCCCACATATTGGCCAGGGATCTAGCTCGGTGGCAGAGCGCCCGACTGGTAAATGCGAGGTCATAAGTTTGATACAAGGCACCAAAAAAAAAAAAAAAAGCACCACATATTCATGTAGAAAAAAAGGATCTGTTTTTTACTCATTCTGAATTTTCCCTTAGATACCATTTCCTTCTCGATATTTCCTGTTCTTCTAGCCATAGACTTTTTCCTCTGATGGAGAATACAGTACATGGTAGTATATTTTAAGAGATCAGTATTAATGAGTTCCAACATTAAATGAAAAGATAGGTATTTCCAATAACAAATTTCAAATATATTAAAAATAGCATTTTATTTTTATTAGAATGAAGATTTGGACAATTTGGGCAATGTGTTAGGGGTAGGCTGGAAGTAAATCTCTAAGCAAACATCTGCTGGCTGTGCTACCCAAATCAGGATGCCTTGCCCTGCTCCTGTCTGATTTCTGAGAGAGGATTTCTTTAGAGAGGGTTTCTCCTCTCTAAACTATAATAGAGAAAATTAGACCCAGAGGTGTGACTTGTTACTATATTTCTATTCCTTCAAACTTCTGTGTCCATTCTTACCCAAAGGTCTTCACGGTGGGAAGACTAATTTGCATTATGGAAGTGTGGGGGTCACAGGAGAAGGCAGGAGTGTAAGTATCAGAAGCAGAGAGGAATTTTAAGGTGCTACACTGTAGGCTTTGGAGTTGGACCAAGAGGACCACCAGTTAAGGAATGCAGGCGGCCCCTTAGAAGCTGGAAAAGGCCAGGACAGTGATTCTCCTAGAGACTTTGGAAGGAACGTAATCTTCTGAAAACTCAATTCTAGTCCAGTGAGATCTGTGTTGGACTTCTGACCTCCAGAACTATGACATCATACATTCATGCTATTGTTTTAAGTCATTAAGTTCCTAATTTTTATGAGCACTAAGAAACTAATAAAAGATCTTGTCACCTCTGTTTGGTTTGTTTCTGTGCTATGGAAGATTGAACCCAGGGGCACTCTTTCACTGAATTTATATCCTCAGTGTCTATTTATTTACTGTTACGGAGATTGACCTAGGGGTGCTGTACCACTAAGCTCCAGTCTAGTCCTTTTATTTTAGATTTCGAGACAAGATTTTGTTAAACTCCCTGTGCTGGCCTCATATTTAAGACCCTTCTGCCTCAGCCTCCTGAGTACCTAGGATTACAAGTGTGTATCACCTTGCCTGGCAATTGTCATGTTTTAGAGAAAATTTTTTCATACTCTAACAGTCTTTAGTTACTCTTTTCTATTTTATCTACTTTGGAGTATTTATCAGTATCTGAAAAACTTTTTTTCATAAAATTAGCACAAATTGTAAAAATTTCTTCCCATTGGAATACAAATCCCTTAGAGATGGCAGGGACTTTGTCTTGCTCACCACTCAAGCACTTAGAATAATGTCTCAGCCATGGTAAATCCTCGTGAAATATAATATTCTTTCCTTTTCAAACATTCTTTTTTTCCCCTCCAGAATTTACCTACAGGGAAAAAAATATTTTAACTTTAAATATTTTTACTTTAATGGTCCAAACCAGACCATTTGGAGTCATTTCTAAAAGCTGCGTTGGGGTGAGAGTGATCCCGATTCCCACAGCTGCACTGGATAACTCTGCCTGCTTTCCTTCCCAAGGTTGGGAATGACTTGGACCAAACAAGGTATTCTGAATGCCATCAGATTTTCAAGTAAAAAAGGAGGCTGAAACTGCAAGATTTGGTCCTCTGGTAAGTTTCCTGAGAAATATGACTAGACTCTGAGCTCAGGGTGGCTCTTGATGAGACACTTTCATTCCTCTGTGCCCTCCCTGGGCACATACTACAGAAGAGTTGGGGAGCATCCATCCAGTGCTTATGCTTGGCATGAAGTTTGTGCTTTCCTTGGTTGCTGCAGACTCGTCCAGCTCATCACAGCCCAGGGCTCTCCATGCAGGGTGTGTGCTATGCTCCCTGGACTTCCTGGCAGCTTCTTTGAAACCGTGCACTGCCGTTCCTTATTGTCCTGCTCATTCTGCTTCTTTTCCCTGTGATAAACTTTACCTTACTTCAGAGGGAATTCTGTTCTGTTCTCCTCCATGTCTCTCTGGGAGGCCTTTATTTGCTAAAAGTTACCACAGAGGTACCTTGGTGATCATCTGTCTGAGGGCAGGAACACTGTCTTTCACGTGTTTGAATACTCAGTGATCACTCAGCACATTTGCTGGAAAAAGAACTCTCTGACCTGCATGGAACCCAACCAAGATAACACAACATTCCTTCCTGAGTGGTTGGTGGACAAGAGTGGCACTAAACACATGTTTAATGACTAGACTTGAATTAAATGACATGGGCGACAGCAAGAGCTTGCTCTCCCTGTGATATTTTTGGCGTACAAGATATTTTCCTCAGCTTTATAGTGATGTGTCCCCAAATGACCAAATTGTGGCCAATGAAATATAAACATAAGTATTTTCTAGAAGCTTTTTCAGGAGATGAATGGCCCTTTGAGTCTCTTTTGGATTCTTTCTCCCATTCTGATATCTGCAACATGGACACCTCTATTCATGTAGCATCAGAATCCCAATGAGTTATTCTAGGGCTAGCAGCAGTGGGACACTCTTACTGCTCTAGGCTTGCGACAAAAAGAAGAAAGTG